ACAGGAGTAGTGAATAAACGAAATCGATTTTATTCGCGGGAGGTATCAGAAAATTAATCGACGCAGTATAGCACATATATTATAAACTTAAGTAAAAATTGAAAAAAAAAAAAAAAAAATCAACTATTTTCACTACTTATTTGATGCATCGAAATATACAATGAAATACATTTCGATAACAGTTGCTTTGTAAAATTTCCGTAAATGTTAACGAATTCCTAATCACTATTCGCTGGTATTTTAACTGTTTTCGTTAATAGTGTTTCAATAATAAAATTTTAATCGTGAATACTGAACGTTATGATTGTTCATTTATTTTTTTTTCCAGGAAAACTTACGGTCTGAAAGTGGAGCAGCACGTCCCTTATGTCCATATGTGTCATTGCCGTTACTAATGAACCGAATAACAAATGCGGGATCGATGTGCACTGCATCAATCACGATCGTACACGGTTTAAAAGTGTCGGTGGTGGATTTCACAATTCAAATGAAATCGGAAGCCCATTACAATAACGCGCGAGCGCACGCACACACTCCGTTCAATGCGCGCGCGTACGGGCGCGTACTCGTACACAGCAGCCTTAAATTTGTTTACTCATTAAAGCGGTTCGGCTATTCCGTTTTTTACACATCATCGTTCACCCGTGTTCATATGCCACCTGCTGCCTCGACGCCACCGGTAATTACCGAACAGCACGAAACCGTTTAAACAGTGTACGGTTAATCGCACGCTGACCCCCAACCCCCGATCGTGTGTGTGTGCTGTCGCCGCTCCGAGCATCATCCCCGCCATTTCCGTGGACTCGATGCGGTGTAAAAATTGCGTTCATGACTCACTCCGTCTCGGGTTTCTATTCGTAAAAGAGTTCACACCCCCTTCGTCCGTCTGTTCTTTTGCCCCTTCGCTGACCCGGCGGCGCGGGTCTTCGTCGTTAAAAAGTTCCGCGCACCGGTCTCGCTAACCAATTAAAACTTAAGCTTATATTTTTGTTCTTTTATTACCGTCCGTTGTGCATTACGGTACAACGGCAAAGGCTGTACATGAGGTTAGTTTTACAGTTTTTTTTTCTCGCTCTCGTAGTCGTTATATTTTTTATTTTTTTTCTTTCGCCGTTTTATCTGTTTACGATATTTGCGTACAGGTTTTATATATTTTATGCGTGCTTATCGGCTGGCTGTGCACCTCGTGCGGTACACGTGCACGTGTAAACAATGCAGAGTATATTAATGGCATCGAAAACGTAAACGAGTTGCATGCACGCAAACGAATCCGGGAGTCGTACGTTGATACTGAACAGTTGCCGGAGCCTCCGGAATAGTTGTAAACTGCACAACGTTTGCATGGACATAGAACGATGGACAAATGTAACACCATTTACGAGGTAGTTTCTAACGTTAATTTTATTTGTATTTTGTCTTTAAATTATTTTATTTCGATTGAATTTCGAGTGTAGATCATAAAAAACAACTCTCTACCTCCGTCGGAAGCAAAAGGACGATGAAGATTGTACAGATACAAGTTTAGTAAGGCGTTCGTACATGTTTTCCTATATTTTCCCATAATTTTAATAACATTATTGTTACTATCTATCTTCTCTGAAATGTTATTCTCGATTAATTCAGTTATAACAGCTCACTAAAATGTATTGGTCTCTCAATTTAATTGTTCGACTGATTCGATGAGCCACTAAATATAATTAAGTGCAAATACTATTTTATCGTTCTAAATTTATCGAAATGTACACGAATTTACGTTAATTTTTTTACCCGAAAAATCAACCGGTATTGGGAATGACGTATATTTCGTCACCGGTGTCGAATTATTTATTTTTCAAACACAATGCCAGAACATCGACCATCGGGCAAACACTTGTCAAATGTCGAACTTGATTTTTTTTATGGACCGATTACACAATGACTTTTCTTGTTTTTCATTCGATCGCAGTTACGAGATATCGGTTATGCATGTGCCGCAGGCACGAGACATATTGCACGTATTGCAATGCGCTTGTCGAGTTTGCTCGGTAATAATAATTACACCGGATTGGTAGTTGTTGAATCGATGTTCCGAGGGAGGATTTAAACACTTCTTCCGCAAGTAAATTACGAATTAATTTTGAACAATGTAAAGGACGTAAAACAGTAAAAAGAAAGTAACGGAAAAATCTGTAAAACGTCGAGGAAAAACCAGAATCGGCGTGTTCCACGCACAACAAACAAACACGTGGCGTCGGGGTACGACCAATTTTTATCGTTCGTCATAGCTGTTCTGTCGTAACAATAATTGTTAACAACAACGTTTTCCGAGCATTCGAACGAATCGCGAGTTGCCATCGACTCGGTGTTACGTCTCATCGTCGCCGAATCGGACGTGCGTGTAACTGCGAATCGTTTCGCGCGGTCGTCAGCGAAGGGATTGTCTACGGTCGACGGAAAACACAGAACAGCGGAGAGAGTGGCCACGGGGACGGACACGCGTGGCGATGGGAGGGGTTGGCGGGAGGTGCGTCCTGTCAATCGGCTTCCCTTCTACCTCGGGGGACGAGAGTCACCGTTCACTTGTTTGCGAGTGCATCTGACAACGACCGACGGTGCACCGTGTGCGTCGACCGCGTAATCGCGTCGTCGAACGTCCAACGCCTAACGGTTACCCCAAACTGAAACCGGCCGCAACGACTGACCGTTGCACGTGTGATGGTTTACTACAGTACGATTGAATGCTGCGACTGGCATTTACTTTCGGTTCAGTCGAGGTCGATATTTCGTTTTTGTTCACGCGTATTTGTTTTGTTATTTTTATCTCTCGTTACCGAAAATCACCGAAAACGGAACGGGTAAATCATAAATAATAACAAAACAATCGTAGATTTATCAGAAGCGTAGGAATAAAAAGTAATAACGTGCTTAGGACTTCTTCGACCCATGATCAATTGCGTGGCGAATGGAGTTCACGTTGTTTTTCCATTGAACAAATTCGTTTTTAAAAGTATACGACGAATTCGCAATGCGACGCACGCAATGCACTGCTTCCACAGCACTGTTGACAGGCACACGTCGATCGGACGTTGGAAACCAACGATAAGGCATTAACTTATAGCAGAGTTTGCCGTAGTGTGTTCCGTGGGACAATCTTAAGGGATCCGCAAGATGTATGTGAATATTGAGAACGGTTATTGTAGTAAACAATAATCGTGAACCGTCTTTAAAACTAGTTTTCGGAATATTGGTTTTTCAGTAATTAATTTGAAAAAATGGCGTTAAGTTAGAGTTAGAGACATTGGGGCTCCACGGAACAAAAAATATATCTCAAGGGTTCCGTGGTCGTAAAAGTTTGGGAACCACTGACTTATGGAACAGTCAATCACGCGGTTAGGAGACCGTACCTTTAGTCGCGCGTTCGCCACTAGAGCAACAATCGCGTGCGGTCGGATTTTCAATAAGACGTCCCTCGACCCGCCACCGGAACGCGGTACGCGTCTCGCGGGGACCGAATTAACGAGTCCGCACTTGAAACGACGGCGAACAATCGGTGGTGGTGAAAAACATCGCGTGCCAACGTAGTCGCCGTCAGACAGACGCGATAATTTGCGCATATATTAGTTCGTCGTGCCGACGCATGCACGTTTTTATGTTGATTTAGTTGACTGTTTCGTGTTCCACGGGAAAATGTTATTTCAATCTCAGAGTAACGATACTAAGGTGCCCGAGCAGATCACAGTTCAAGCTATTTGTGTTCTGTTTAACGTGTACATACACAATTATCGAATATACTTATTTATTTATAATAACATATTGAAGTTGTGTTTTAATAACGATGATAAAGAGAAAAAATAATGGCAGTAACCGATATGGGTACGTAAAAACCGAAAATATCAACCACGATCAGGTTAGAAAATTGAAATGGAATCAAAATTGTTTTTTGCTGATTAACATAATAACAACGATAAAAGTACCAATGCCTTGCATATAAAATCATTACGAGGTAGCTGCGACTATTTTAACTCTCGGCATTATAATATTCTTATATTATATGTTAAGTTCGTTTCAATAGCATGTTTATTCGACCGTACGGACCATTGTAATCCTACATGTATGTAAATTTCATTTAATTGCGTTTGTAGAACAGTACAATAGACTCGTCCGGTGACGCGGCAGGGATTGATTTTCGAGATTGGTAAGGGGAATGGTAGATTAGGCTTGTTAGGACATTCATAGAATACCGTTTGAATGATCGTTCGGTTTTCGTGCGTAAGAGATCGTTTCCCATGTAAATCAGAACCTTTGTACGGATAACGTAAAGAGAGGTACGGTTAGCGAATCCAACAATGAGAGTACTTCAGAATTCGAGTTCAGGTATTGTGCGCAAAAACAATCGTTGTACGATGCGCACAATGCGTCGAAAAAAAAAATACAAATTATGGCCGTCGTTTTCGGCCATAGAACGATAACGTTTAAAAGTTTAAAATATCCCTATTCAATATTCCTGCATGTCGGTTTCGCGTATCGACACTGCAAATTTGTATCCAAGTAAACTCTCTACAAAGATACTAAACATATCACAGCACTAGAATATTAGATTGTCGGTAAACGCTTGGGATATTGAAAGCCTGTTGCGTACTGTATAGGGTGTGTTGAACATTGATTGCCCGAACCCGTAACCGGACGAGTGCTCGGTCACAGAATCGATTCTTCTCTCGCTGTAAACCAATCGCTCGAAATGTTTTCACAGCGATAAAAAAAAAAAAAAAAAAAAAATAGACGCCCGTAAAAGCCTTGAAATGTATATAAATATATCGTTAAAAATCGATTGCGCGCGTGTAATATTATTAATCGAAACGGTCGAAGTGTTTGTATCGCAAAACCGTTTTGCCGTGAACGTACGCGAGTTTTTATTTCGAAAACCGTCCCCTCTCAACCCACATCGTCCTAGATCTACCCCCACGATGCCAACCGAGCATGTGTAACACACCCAGCTCTAATCTACTTCGCGCGGCACTCACCTCTAGTAAAACGTCCGTAAAACGCGGTTATGGCCACGAACGCGACGGCAAACCGCACGACCCTTCCGTCCGTCCGACGGTGATGGCGCCGCTGCGTGCCTTCGAACATCGCCGATCCGCTGCGTCCCTCGTTCCGGTCGCCCGACCGCGATGCACTAGACGGCCGCTGCGGGTCCCGCCGAACCGGTCGCGTGTGTGTCGTTGCTGACGGAGGCGGTGGAGGAGGTTGAGGTCCCGGACGACGGGCCGACGCACATGGCGTGGTCACCTGTTGAACGGGCAAAACACGGTGTAGTAACTGTAAGACCAAATAGCCGACATCGAGAGTGAGTGCAGTGGCGAGCAGAACATTTTTCAGACCAGAGGTGAACCGTACAATTTGACCACACACCTTACTATCATCAGGTTTTTCGCTATTTTTTTTTTTTTCATTAAAAATTAATTAATACAGGGTTGTTCAAAACGATTCATCCGATTTCAAATAGCTATGAAATGGTAATTATTAATTTAATCTTATCAAATTATACACCAATTAATGAGGATGTATCCAAGTTTTAGAACGTCATTAATTGTTTGTTTTACAATTATTGCTTTTAAGCGATAAGTTATTTTGTGCAAATATGTCGACCTAACAGCAGCAAGCGTTTTGTGTGTTGTGATTTTCTAAATGTGAATCGGTAATAAACGTGCAACACGATTTTTGCCGTCGTTACGGGATCGATAAACTGAATTCTTATACGATGGTATAAGCAGTTTGAAAAAACATGGTGTTTGGGCAAAAGAAAAAGCATAGGCCGACCTCGTGTATCTCTTGGAATCAATTACAAAAGGTATGCTATAAGAAGTATGGAATGAGATTGACCATCGGATAGATGTTGTTCGTGGGACCAGTGGAACTCGTTTAGAACGTTTATAGGTAAAATTAATTAAACTCGACATAATTCTCTTTTATTTAACGTATAACATATTGTTCTGAGATTAAAAAATAAAATTATTCAAGAATTTAAAATCAGATGAATCATTTTGAATAACCCTGTATTATTAAATTTTAAGGTATGATAAAAAATAGGCCACTTTCTTAATTAAAAAAAAATATCAAACATTATATAAGATTATAAAAACTATTTTATTTAAACAATAAAGATGTTTTTAATAAATCAGATGAATTATTAAATTTAACGAGTTATAGTTGTCAAAACAGCGGGACGAAACGCTCCGGTTTCAAAGATGCGCCGGTCCGCAAGTGGGCCAGAGCGTCTAGGACAGGGATGGCTAAACATTTGAACACTGCTTGTCCAAAATTACCTTTTTTTTTATTTTTTAGAGGGTGCCATGAAAAAAATATTAAAAATATTATATTTTGTTATATTTGATAGTATAATTAATGTATTAGTATAAAAAGGTTAGTTTAGTTACATAATAATAATAACAATAATAATAATATATAATTAATAATAATAATAATTATAATAATATTGCTTTGTTAATTATTTGTATTATATTATATTATATTATAGGTCCTATAATATTATATATTATATAATATATAAATGTAAAAATTTTCGCGTGCCATGGATTTGCCACCCCCGGTCTAGGACCTATGACTTATACCTTGTCTCAAGGTGCGATCTCACAGCACGTGCCGCTGTATAGCGTGGTACATGGGTCAAAAGAAACGCGGATCGTAATAAACGTTCGGGAAATGCGCGGTGCGATCACACTTCTATCGAGTACAGGTTTGGAGAAAGTTTACGTACGACAAGCGTCTCGAGCGGGAGAAGAAAAGACGCGCATCCGGTTCGGTTTTATCCGGATTCTTCCCGGACCGAGATCGGGTGTGTTATTTTTCGGATAGGACGAGTATGTTTTCGTTGTCGACCGTTCGCCCGTGCTCCCTTACCATGTAATTCTTTTACCTATCGTTTTATTTACCCTCTTGGAACCAATACGAACGGTTCGGCTCTTAGACCCGCAGACTTTAGACTTTCTTGTGTCTACTGTACGAGATTTACGAGCTACGCCTACATTGTATCGTCAGCATGGTGAATTTTTTTTTTTTCTATGCGTTCACTATACATTTACGATAAAAATAATACCTTTTTAATGTCTTCCAATTAAATATAAATATATCACATACTTAAAAAAGAAAAATAATACAGATGATACTTTTAGAAATTAGTTAAGCGTGTAGTCTACCTTTGTAAATGAACTGCTCGGTATTTATCAACGGCAGGTAGGTTTGACACCGTCGATATGAAACATTACCGTGTGTAATGCTTGTAATCGGTTAGGTTTATACGAACGTGTTTTTGTTAAAACAAACAAGTACGGGTTACACAGTACATAAGATAGCTTATTTGAATATGCTATTTCGTTTCACGAAAATGTTCCACGATACGGGTATCGTCGTGTTGAATGGACAAACGAGACTGTATCGTAAACGTAAATAACAAATAATTAACAACTTCAACGGTAGTAATGTTTTAAAGAGTATATGCGCTTTCGCGGATAAAGCTTTAAAGTATATTAGATACTTGCCGAACGACGTTCGTTCGACTTTCAAAAAATCTATTATCGCCGAACTTATCATGTTCGTTTTGCTTTTGTAAAGCTGTCATGATATTTTCAGTTCATCGCGATCGTTACGTTGTAATAGTATTTATATTTTCGTTGAAATTGATTCGCTATTATTTTTCTCAGTGTGTTACATATATAACTACTGATTATACAACTAAAATAAGACAACTTAATTAAATTAATTGTTTTCCGTTACGGTTTCATTTTACGTATTGCGTTCCTGCGATATTGGAACACTTGAGCACAATGCAAACAAATATTTTTTTATTTTTTTTTGTTTTTTTTTTTTTTTATATTTCCGACAGCAATTGATAGTTAACATATGCTTTAATTTTTACATAAAAAACCTCAACTCTTTTAACTAGTTCTTTTTTTCATTTCGTCTCTGTGGTGGTGATCGATTCGATTTGTAAATCTGTTGACATTTTCCCCGTTACGTATGCATATGAATATCTTCAACGCATATTCCATCGGTTCTTGATTACTAAGCAACGAAAAAATATTGCTACAATGCGTGCGAATATTCGAGTTGTGTGTGTTTAATACAGAAGACGAGCGTTTTTTTTTTTTAATTGTATTGCATAATATTATGATTCATATAATTGATGTGTATAATATTGTGTATAAACACGATTACGTAACTCGAAGATAGTTTTTATATTATTTTTACCGGAATACAGGGTGTTACCGGACGGTGAAATAATCGACGAAATTAATAAATACGTATTATATGTAATATAATATTATTACAAAGTGTTTACATAGTAGGTCGGATGTGTAAAATCAGATTAAAAATTACAAATATAGGATTTATTGGCGTTAAATATGTTAAATATATAGAAAATTTCATAGAAATAATGGAAATGTTAACCAAAAATACATTTCTAGCAAATTTTTCCAAGTCAATAGTACTGCGGACCTATATTCGATTAAATGCTTCCAAGAGATTTGTATTCCATTATAATTACGACGAGGACTATTTTGTTTTTTAGTTTATAAGACCGTAACTTTAACAATTATGTGTACACAATACAAAATATTTTATAACAATTCGATACATATTTGATGATATTTTACGTTCTATTCGCACAAGGATTGATAACTGCAGTCGTATATAAACATCAAGTAAAAATTGTATTATTACGTACGAATATTATTCCGATCGAATGGTAAATAATATAGCTGATAGCTAACTTCAACAGTGGAAAATATTGCTTTGTCGATGCTTTCAGTCGCGGCTACTGGAATAATAAACTAAATATTACAATAATACACATATCACATGCATATAGGCGGATTTTCATTTCAATTTCTAAAAATCTTCTAGACATGAATAACTAGCATTACAGCATTTCCACCCCTTGAATAAGTTTTTGCACTAGTGTTCAAAATATATGTTCAGATAAAAAGTACATTTGAATTGGAGTACATTACATCAAATGGAAAGTAGCTTTGTGTCCATTTCAATTATGAATATATCAATATCTACATCAATATTTACAATATTATTTTATTAAATTTTTTTGTTTGTGCTTTTGATATATTATACTTTGACGGGGGAGAATAAATAAATAACGCAAACACTTTTTTGCGCAAACATTTTTTTTTTTTTTTTTTTTTTTTAATGTGATTGCAACAGCTACAACTAAAGAAATGCAGTGCATAATTTCGATTTACAATAAACTTTCATGTTCTTTTTTATATTTTAATTGATATTGAAACTAGACCAGTAAAACGTAAATTATTTTTACATTTAGATGTTAAAAATCAAAAATAGTTATCGAACAATATGCTGTGATAGCTATGTAGTACACAAATAATGTCGACAGAGTCGGATTAAGGGGGTGGGCTAAGTGGGCTATAGCCCAGGGTCCCCCAAAAGAATAGTATGGGCTTGCAGTTTTTCTAAGTTATAGATATATAATTAGAAAAATATGATTTAACAATATTTATTTAAAGATACAATCATATTAATCATTTGAATTAATTGTCTATGACAGCCTGTCTGTTATTGAATTAGATAGGTACACACACAATAAGCAATATACTGTGTTATTTCGTTTTATTTTATCGCTTTCAAATAAAAGTCTGTAGTCAATACTTTTTTTGTTATTATAGATAAATTGATTTCTGAACTTGGCAGAAGATTAAATTCTTATAATCTTTTTATTTTTCAATTCAAATTTTTAGTTAACTTTAGAACTGACAATGACCCAGACATTAGATTCATTAAATAACTGTATTCAATTTTACCATAATGATCTCGACGATAACTTGAAAACAGAAATATCAAAACAGTTACTACAGATATTGACAATTGTAGCAAAACTTCTCTATGAGAATACAACTTATTGATGTTTTTCCAAATGTATATATTGCACTAAGATTATACTTGACAATATTGTTGACAAATTGTGAAGCAAAACATTCATTCTCAAAGTTGGCTCTAATTAAAAATCGACTGAGATTTACACATTAAAGATAGGTTGAAAACATTAACAATTATTTTAATACAAAATTACATATGTAAAAAACTTTCATTTGATGGCATTTTAGATACCTTTGCATTAAGTAAATCTAGAAAAAAAATATTTTAAGTAATCATTTGTTTGTATTTTTGTGTTATTACCTTATATTTTATATTTTAAAATTTAACTAAATTGTATTTTTTAATAAATTAACTATGTAATG